ATTTCTTTTAATAATAATTTAGAATGATGTGTATTCATGCAGGGAAAATTCACAATGTGCAAAAGATGAGCCAAGTTTAAGGAAAGTGTCTCACATTGTCCCTTTCTGTGTGAAAAGTATCTTAATATCTGTCCATGTTTTTTCAGGCAAACCGGAATTCTGGAGGAGCAAAGTCAAACTGACCTGTCCAGAAAAGGCGAAGTGGTTTTACAAAAATGAAAAAGTCCATAATGAAAGTGATACCTATGAATTCACATATACGAGTAAAGGCACATACAGATGTGAATACGAAACTAATCAGAAATATTATTTCTATGTTGAAGGAAATGGTGAGTGAAAAAGAATCTTTTCATTTCCTCACTTGTGTTAGCTGTTCATGCTGCTCTAACACTTGATGTCTTTTACCTCCAGTGTGTGAGAACTGCTTTGAGCTCGATGGAAACACATTATTTATGGTGATTGTCGGGGACTTACTCCTGACAATAATTATGATGGTCATAGTCTACAGGTGCACTAAGAAGAAAAGCCCAGCTGGGCCTCCTCAACCTTCCAAAGGTAAAAAGTGCACTTGGACAAATGAATGACAGTCTACTAGTTTACCCTTTTTGTCTTGGTTGAGTTAAAGGTTACCTCATGTCCTTTATACACCTTTAATTCTTGAGAAATTCTGTTATTATTGATATTAGTTGTATTTACTCTGTCATCATCTTCCAGCACCTCCTCGATCGGGAGGCCGAGGTCCACCTGTCCCGTCTCCTGACTATGAGGTACGTACTGGATAATAAAAATTCTGTTTTACCTGGAATGTTAAATCCCCAATAATTCAGAAAGTATGGCTTTTATATTGTTGATGTTTTCATAGTTTTCATGGTTTCTCCATCTAACCACCCATTCATCCATCCAACCATCCATCCATTTTCTACCGTTTATCCGCTAGATGAACGGAGCAGGTTTAGCAGGGTATTCCAGATGTCCTTTTGCCTTTAATACTTTTCTCTTCCTTCCTGGGAATCCTGAGGTATACTCAGGCAACAAGAGATATTAATATATTACAGTTTGGGGGAAAGAAGAGAAAGAGAAACAAAAAATGCAGCCAAACTAATTAGTGATCTGAATTGGCAAATTGGCACTAAGTAAATAAAACTGAATTGAACTGTATTGAACTGAATTATTCAGACTGTTTTTAATTTACCAGATGAAACAATTAATGTCCTGAAATGGTGTTTTCATGTTCTGTGAATTTTTTTTACTTTTCCACACATATTTTAATGTTGTTTTACATGATATTTAATGATGTGGTGCAAGGAGTGATAAAAATCAGAACGTCATTTGATAAAAATCAAATCTGAATGACTAAAAAGATATTTTTAGCTTTGTTTGCACTAAATTCTTCCAGTTCCTTCATGTAACAAATAAGACTGTGTTAGACGATATTGGAACGAGACCAACGTTGCAATTGAATGGAACTGGATTAATTCCTGACCAGAGTTAATTAACTGTTTATCAACATAGAACATAGATTACACTAAATATTAACACTAATTTGCCAAGATGTGATTCCAAA